GGGGGGGGCTAAAATACCAAGGAAAAATAGAATTTTCAAGAGATCATTTCTTTGCCCCATGGCCCTTAAATTGCACTTTACTTATTTTATTTAAATTCTATTGTCGAGGGGGGAGGGGGGGAGTGCAGAAAAAGAAATTCTTAGGTAGGACATTTCACAGATAGGACATTTCATAGATAGGACATTTCACAGATAGGACATTTCATAGATAGGACATTTCACAGATAGGACATTTCATAGATAGGACATTTTACAGATAGGACATTTCATAGAAGACATTTCATAGCCAGGACTCCCAAGACAAGCCCTTAAACTTAAAAACGCAGAATATGAAAACGGAAATGTTTTCATTGAACAAAATATTAAGAAAAATAAAATGATATTTCCTCAAATAATCTATAATAATTGCGGAACGGATCAGTTGTGTAGCAAATCTTCTTTGTTTGTGAGTATTAATATATATTATATATCTTTATATTATAAATATACATATATATATGTTTCCGTATTTGTTCCTTATTTTGATGATATAATTTAACATGCAACCTTGATTATATCTTAATACTATTGCTCTCTAATCTGTTATAGATCTTTATATATATTATGTAATGTAAATACATATGTTATAGGTACGATGTACATATGTAATATGTACAATTTACATATGTAATATGTACAATGTACATATGTAATAATAGGGAAGGCCCATGTAATTGGCTGCATTTCAAGTGGTCCAGATCCAATTATCAAACTTTTGTCTGAGTTTGATGAAAATATCCTAGATTTTCTTCATAAAAAATTATAATTTTCTTTTGCAGATTTCTAAAAATGAATGTGGGATTTATGCTGCAGGTACAATTAGGGAAATTGATATAATTTATATTTTTATAAAATATCAAAACTTTTCAAAAAGTCCCTTTAAAGAGTAAAATATATTAAAGGGACTGTAAGCATAATTTCATGTGACCCTATCCATGCAAAGATGACAATGCTCGATTTGAAACCAATTAATCTGATCTAGAATGTGGACAGGGGCAGCTTATGATATTTTCCAGGGGAGGGGGGATAAATAGTTTAAATATATTACACGCTAAGTGCGCCGAAACTTTTGTCTACCTAGCAAACCCCCCCCCCAGAATTTTAAACATGAAATTTGGAAAATAATATATCAAATTGTATTGCTATTGCCCCTATTTTTTCAGGGGGGGGGGGTGACCCCCCTTTTTTGCTTCCTTATAAACCGCCACTGAATAGGGAAGATACCGCCGTTTTTCTTACTTGGAAAGTGTTTAATTCTGATGGTTTCTCCATTGAAATTAACATCTAATTCGTCCTTGATCATACAAATCTTTTAATTTGCATGGAGGGTCTGGGTCACTTGAAATAACGCTTACATTTTAAAAGAAAAATATATTTAAGAAGAAGTGTCCAAATAAATTTGTCGAAAGATCTGAAGAAGGGCTGAATAAAACCTCGATATTACTGGCAGGTTAGGATTCAATATCCCCACAATACTCCAGAGACACTTCTCAGGTTTCTAATCTTTCCATTCTCCCTTCTCTCTTCTTCAAACCATTGACAGTTGGAGTGAGAGACCAGCTCCGCGCACCACAAATATTATTAGAATCAATGGATTTAAGTCAATAATTGAAGGATTAAAGATAAATGGTTAAATGGATTAATTTCTTTCACAGAATAATATTTTGTCAAGGTAATCCGACCCTGGGTATAGAGTATGCATCAATAGACTGAATATCCTCTTTAAAATTTCGAACCAATAAATCTACATATTTTATATTCGACTTAATTTATAAGAATGTTCTTTGTCTTCCTACAGTAAAGAGATAACGTTTTAACTCTAGTAAATCAGAGTTTCTGAATTCTAGCATTGGTCTTCTTTCTTTCACATCAACTCAACCAACCCTGATTAAGGTTCATCAATTATTGATTTAATGATAAACTCGGAATTTATTCAAATCCATGAAAATCCATAAAGTTTATATTTTGATTTTTGAGGATGGGATGAGGATGGGATGAGGATGGGATGAGGATGGGATGAGGATGGGATGAGGATGGGATGAGGTTGAGATGAGGATGGGATGAGGATGAGATGAGGATGGGATGAGGATGGGATGAGGATGGGATGAGGATAGGATTAGGATGGGATGAGGATGGGATGAGGATGGGATGAGGATGGGATGAGGAAAAAATCTGTCCAACCTGAAATCGTCAATATTTCAAACTATGAGTTCTGAGAGATTATAAAAAGTTTGAAATATCTCAGGTTTACACAACAAGGTGGGGAATAATATTGATAATTTAAGGGAAGGGAGAGAGGGGAAGGGAGGGGGGTGTGTGTGTTGTAGCAGGTTTAAAACTTAAACTTTGAATATATACTTTTTAAAATGCAAATTTTGTTAAGTTCGTTTCCGTTAGATCTAACACAACACCATATTTATAGAACTATCCCGGTGACAAGAAAAGAAAAAATAGTTCCTATAAAAGAAGGGAAGAAAATTTATTATATGAAATCATAAAACGGATCTTTTATTACAACTGCTTAATATTATTTTATTTTTAAAAATTGTATTCTTTTCCTCTCACTTTAAAAGCACAAATTCGGAAATTTTAAAATTTTCCTGAATTAAATCTTTTAAAAACGTTAAAATCGGTGTAAGTTTAAGGAACCATCTAATAAAATAATCAAAAACCTTGAATTTCCGTTTGTAGAAAAACATGGATATCTCCATAATTGTTGGGTACAGTTGTGAATCTGACATGTACCTCTTTAATGGAGGGGTCACTTGAAATTTCGAGAACAGCCCCTTAAAGTTTACTATGAGCATAGTTTCAATTATATTTGAAATTAGTGTACTTGTATGCTAGGAATTTGTTTACAATTATATATACAAATATATACATATATACATATATCCATATATACATATATACATATATACATATATAATATATAATATATACTGGTGAAGTAAGGAATGTGAGTCAACAAACTTATTTATTTTTGACAAACTATTTAACTTTCTAGCGGGTATATTTTTTAATTTTGTAGGGAAAAGTAAGATTTTTAGTAAAATTTTATATTTTTTTAATTTGTTTTATTTCTTGAAATTTTTAAAATTTTGGCCTAAATAATATTTTTAGTTTACAAATACATGCCGTAAAATCTTTTTAATATTTCAAAAATAATTCAATTAAAAATCTATTTTATCCCTTGAAATTCTTAAGTTTACAAAACACAATGATTTGTTTAAATTCTTTTAAATGTTTGATATTTGATTAAAAGTCTTCATAAAGGGAAATAAGTAAAAGAGATTCCAATCTAAACCCATATTTAAAACTCACATTTCAACAAAAGTTTATTTTGTTTTGTTTGAAATCTTAATGTTTCGAAATATATCTAATTTTATAGAGCTTTAAATGAGAAGCCATTGATGTTAAATTATTAAAGTTTGAGTTTGAGTATATAGTTTTTCGACATAAAATAATTTGTTTCCAAAGGTTGATATTGGAGTTATATGAATTCACAAGGGTACCCTTAAAAGTTTTATTTGATTAAGTATGATTTAGATATCAATGTTTATAATTTTAAAAATTGATAATTTTCAAATCTGATTTATCTTTACATATTTATACTGCAGGAACACATATACGAATTTGATTCCACATTATTACTGATCATAAAAATGTTTCAAGGGTACCTTTGTGAATCGGGCATTGCCATCTTTGAAAGGAGAGTCATCACGGAAGGCATTTAGCAATTCAGTAATTAAAAAAAATTCTGATAAAAAATTTCTATCTTTCTATTTTTGAAAATCCACGAGTAAAAACAAGTAAATCTTTAAAATTTCCATAGTTTTAATTTTTTAAATGTACAAGGGAAAAATACTCATAGGTAAAATATCAACATCAAAAAGAAAAAACCATTATTAAAGAATAGTTTAAAACTAGATAAAAATTTTTTTAAGTGTTTCAGAATTTGGGTAAATAAGCAAAAGAAAGTTGAAATGTTTTTAAAGTGCAGTAATGATAAAAAATATCTGATTTTCCGGCCAAGTTTTAATAAAATCAAGTTGATTGTTGTGAACCCTGATAAAATCAGTATTTCAACGTTTAAATGCTTGGAATCATTTGGAATAACATTTTACAGATTTAATTGACTGTTAACATCAATAGGACCGAACCCCCGCTTCTGATTGGTCCAAATCTCCGACGGCGGCGCTAAACCGACCAATGAGAGCGCAAGGCGGGAACCATGTTTTCAACAAATATTTAGACTCTGCGAGATTCAGTTGGTTTAGTTTCAATCAAACATCAGATCAACATGGACGCTTCTCCAACCCTGAGCACGGTTCAGTTCTCCGACCTGAACCCAACCTTTACTCCGCAAACCTCAACCCAGTTTTCATCTTCTCCAATAAACACATTCTCCTCCTCCCCCTCCTCACAGTTCTCACAGCAGTTAAACTTACAACAACTCTATACTCTAGCTGTAGCAGAGAGGATGAGATTCATCCAACCTTTCAATCCATTCCCGCATTTCTTCCAACCTCAGATGACTCCACAATATCAATCCTCTCCTCCTCCAGATCTTGCTATGTTTCCAATGGCTAAACTTGATCCACGACTCTTTAGAATACCATTCCCTGAAGAACCTAAACCCCAACACTCCTACATAGGACTGATAGCCATTGGAATCTTGAGTTCTGAGGACAAAAAGTTGGTTTTAGCGGATATTTATCAATATCTTTTGGATAATTTTGCATATTTCCGACACAGAGGACCTGGTTGGAGAAACTCAATCCGACACAATCTATCTTTAAATGATTGTTTTATCAAGGCTGGGAGAGCATCTAATGGTAAAGGACATTACTGGGCAGTCCATCCTGCTTGTCAACAAGATTTCCAGAAAGGAGATTTCAGCCGGAGGAAGGCTCAGAAACGGGTACGAAGGTATCTGGGTATGAATCTGAGCTTGGAAGAGGATGATCAAACCCCTCCCTCTTCTCCTACCAATGTTCTAGACATCCTACCTGCTGAACTTGAAGATTCAGATGTAGATATAGAAGAGAAGGTCGGAGAAAAACAACAGACTTGGTACATTAAACCCAACCTTGCCACCAGTCCTTCTATACTACCCGGAGTAAATATTCTCTCCTCTCCGGATCTAAAACCTATCCTGGAGACAGATATTCTTGCAATTAAACCTGAAACAAGGAATGAGATTCTCCGAACCAACTTTAGCATTGCACAGCTCTTGAGACCATGAATTTTTATATTTTATATTGTGATATATTCTATGTTATATTATATATATATGTAAACTCCATATATCTTGCTTTATTTGTATAATGTTATAATAAATATAAATTGAAATTAAAATTAAACCTTTTCCTTTTAAACAATGTTAGGTATTTTTTTTATTTAAAATATTTTGCAATAAAATGTAAAAAAATCTGTCCAACCTGAAATCGTCAATATTTCAAACTATGAGTTCTGAGAGATTATAAAAAGTTTGAAATATCTCAGGTTTACACAACAAGGTACTCATACCCTCTAATATACACAGGAGGGAGGGGGGCTAGGGGTCTCACCCCCCTCTAATGCCTCCCCATGTATCTGACAGATACACAACTTACCATGTGAGAATATAATTATTTACAACTATTTTACATGAAAGTTAAGTGAATTTTACTTAACCACGGGTTCCCAATACCAATTTTTCTAAAAACAGTTAGAGTGAAGCTATTGGAGGAATCATAGGTCGGTAAAATTGGTCAAAAACCGGTATCATTTTTGATTTTCATTTATCTTTGCAGAAATAATTTTTATTTCAAAAACTAAAGAAATTCAAGTATTTTTCAGAAATTTTTAAAGTAAAAAAGCTTACAAAAAAACAGCCATTGCAAGGTTGTCTTATTGGTATTTTTCCATCTATAATACTAAAAATATTGTACATTCAAAACCTAAAAAAAAAGTTTTAGTTAAAAAAAAATATCCCTACCTTTCATTTTATTAAAAAAAATATTAAAAGTTTTTTAGTTGTAATATTTTTCTCAAAATAAAAATATATCAATCCCCATGTTTTGAAAAATAAATAAAAATGTCCTCCCTCCACAGTTTTCCAATTCTTTCGTGGCCGCAGTGCTCGGCCCCTAGCCAGTTCTAGCCGTAGCACTTGCCCCCCCTTAGCTCATCCTATCCGCAGCACTCGGCCCTTATTGCAGCCTGCGGCGCTTCAGAAGGCATAACCTAATCTTTGGGAAGTTGCCGCTTGGGAAATTACACATTTGGGAAGTTGTGAATTGTAAAAACAACATTTTTTAAAGTGAATATTCGCAAATTATCTTTTTTTCATCTCATAATCAGATCGAAATATATTTTCAATAAATGTGGAACTAACATCTACTTTTTTACTCTACAGAGGTTTGGTCCATCACCCAATTTTAAATATTGTAAAAGAATAAATAAAAATATCCAACTGTGTATTGTAAAAAAGTAAATAAAAATATCCAAGTGTGTAATGTAAAAGAGTAAATAAAAATATCTAATTGCGTATTGTAAAAAAGTAAATAAAACTATCTAATTGTGCATTGTAAAAAAGTAAATAAAAATATCCACCCTGTGTATTGAGCTTAATATTGTGTAAGTAGGTGTATCTATGAAGATAATACAAAGTGAAGGAAACATGAGACACTGAGCCCCCCCTTCACTCCACCCCATTCTCCCCCCCACTCCAACCACTATTCCCTCATTCCCCCCC